ACCGAATGATTAGTATCTTATACAGCGCGAAACAGACAATTCTTGACCTTCGATAATTCTATTGTGGTTGTCATAGTATTATACACACGATTATTATATTAAATCTGCTATTATACACTTTGCATTATTAGTTATTTTGATCATTTTCACCTTTAGAGTATTTCACTTTTTGTTTATTAATTATTTTATTATACTTAATTCTTTGATCTCCATTTCTTCTAAATATAGAAAATACTTTGCTAACGAATTTGCAGTAAAATTCCCTTATAATTACTTATTTTGTATTCCTCTTTTCATTTCTATTCTTAAAATAATAATTAACATTTTCCCGCGGAATTTAACAATTTCTTATAATTTTCAAAAGTAGTAGCTTGGCTTTTTGCTGAATTATTTTTAAAATACTTGAAATATTAATGGTGTACATGTTCAGTCAACAGCCGGTTGCTAGCAGCTAGTAGCAATTGCATTAGTGGCTACGATATCGAGATTTCATGTATCCGGCTCAAAGAACTACTATTTAGATCATCATTCGAGATCTGATGGTGAATTCAGGTTATCATAGCTTTACATAAGTACTACCCCACCGACGGTACTCCTTATGAGTGACTATACGACTGATGTTGAGGCCGATTAATAATTATTAATATCTTCTTACCAAAGAAGTTTACTGTCTCCAAGCGAATGAATGGGGCAATTATTCAAGTCAGGTTTCAGATTCTATGAGCTTATTATTCACAGCTCGGATACGTAAGATGCCATTTCGAGCGATCTTTTTCTTCTTCTTTTGCATCAAATTAATCTGTTCCTATGTTTAATCCAATCAATTTAATATTTTAACGCATCTGTTCGGTGAATGAGCATTTTTCCTGGCATAGATTCGATACTTCGTATTTCCAAGGTGAAAGTGATCACTGCTAGAACTAAATGATTTGGCAAACATTTTGCAATCACGTGAAATTTTCACTAACTTACATTTACTTGACTTGGATTTCGTTAAATATTTCACGTCAGCTTCTATCCATAGGAAATTCCAGATATATGGTACTTCTTTAAACCACTGAATGCAATAAGCACCGAAAATAGTATTGTAATCTAAATATCTAGCTCTCTCACCTAGTCACGAATCTTCCCAGATACAAATATTTTTGTATCTTCACATACTTCACATTTCAGGTACTTGCAATAATATACTACGATTAAATGGATCGTGATTGATTAGCTAAAGCGATTCTGTTGCGTTCGAAACACTGCAACTCGCACGGTGCGAGTTTCGCGGAGTTATAAGGCCCGTTTATGCGGATGTGACAATGTTGCTGGGATGGGTGTTGTGGGGGTCCCCTCTCCCACCATCATTTGATGGCAGCTGGTCACAGGTATCCTCGGTTGCGGCGTAGCTACATGGGACGGTAAGAAAGGGAAGGGATGCGTTTCGTCCCGGGCCTGCTAGCGGACTTATATCGATAAAAGGCTACCCTAGCAGGCCCTGCCTTAGATACAGGAATACTATTTGAAGGTCGGGAAGTTATATATATGTAGAGTCACACAGTCTCTACTCGCTGGAGAGTACCTCGGAATACTCAGATTCACTGCAGTCTGTATTTTCGATTCGACTCTCAATAACGCGTAACTCTCGCAATCACAACTCTCGGTTTCAACTCTCTCAAGGACTACCTCAACTCTCTAATGACCATCTCAAAACTCCCTCTATCTTCCAGAGCGGGCCCTTTTAAGCCCGTCTGGAAGGCAAAAGCCTCCCCCGAAGGAGGAGAAAGCTCTCTCCACGTAACGCTCTGGGGTGGAAGGGATTCCTCCTTCGGGTTAGGCTCTCCGAAGGGTCACCCACGCGGGGACCCTTCCCGAGAGGTGCCCACGGACGCGTCGCCCCCAGTTTACAATGGGGAAAACCGGGGTTGAGCGAGGCTACCTCGCATGGCCTGGCCCCAACTTCCCCAGGCTCGTCTGGCCGCCAGACACTAACGGGACCTCTATACCTGGGGAAGTCAAAAAATATCCTACATATATAGGAATTAGAGGTTTTCCGAGGACTTGCGAGAAAGTCCTCGAAGTCGGAATCCACCTAGCGATGAGGGTGAGAATGATGGTCGCTACAGGTGTATACGAATCAAGGGACGCTGGCAATAACGATATAAACAGTCCTCCACTTAACCAGGGATGCTCGGTCCTAGGGGCTCAACAGATTCTCTGATCAAAAAGGAATAAAAAAATAAATTTTTCACCATGACAGAAAATACAATTAAGAATTGATTATCTCTATAATATATGACAGTTTGTCTTTAGTGAATATAAAAGTAATTTAGAAAGTACTTCTTTGAGGATTCAAGCTATAATTCAAATGTAATGAAAAAACAAGTCAAATGTAATAATTTCCAATGAGGAAAATGCAAGACCAGAATATATACATAAGTATAGGAAAAATCTTCTATTGAGAAATTGGCAACAAATCTTTGAAGAAAATAGCATTTCAGAAAGGTTTGATATTTCAACTGATTAAAGCACTTGGCACAAATAAATAATCCATGATGCTACAAGATCTAACGAAGAAGCTTGAGTGTAAAAAGACTAAAATCCGCTTTCTTTCAAAAATGAATAAGGTCTCCAAGGTGTCATAAATTGTGCTAGTCTCGTTTGCTAACAAGAGTGTTCATAGCTTCGGCTTCAATAAATATCGATAACGCTTGTTTACGTTATCGATGGTTCTCTGGCATAATTTAGTACCTTATTCATTTGATGTTGTTCCTTTCTTTCTGTTGAGAAATCAAATTTTCTGCTGTAATCCTAAATCACGTGTACGCGGGTGAGTGTGTTTGTCGTGTTCCTGTTCGGGTCTCTTTGTCTCTTTTGTTTCTTCTTTCCTATGTGTGCGATCTCTGAGTAACTAAAGACTTTCTGCTCTTCTGTTGTTTTCTTTTTATAGTTCTGATTGATATAAGTATTAAAGCTGTTTTATTTGTATGGCCCATATGCCTCACTGTGTAAATTATATAAAGAAACATTCATTTTGCAACACTTTCTTCTTCCGATATTTCTATAATGATTAATTTTTTCTTTTTATTTTCTTCAGATTATTCGGTCTATTTACACATTTATCTTTTTATATATAATTCTACGAGACTAGAATTTCCTTCTAGTTTCACGAGACTATTTGATAGTATAAACATATAACTAATTTTAAAAGTGAAAACAATGACAACTACTGTTACGATGATTATAAACTATCGACATTTTGAATTTGATTTTCTTTGTCTATTTCAACAGTTCACTTTTCCATATTCAAAATATAGATAATGTAGCACTCGTCTGATCGTAGATATATTTACGACAACGAGACGTAGTAAACTGTTGCAAATTACATAAAATTGTATGAAACAAATGTAAGTTGCTTTTGCAAAGGCTAGTTTATAGTTTTTATATCATTTTTATTTTCTGTGCAAATTGCACATAAAGTTGAATATCATACGAAACTGTAGAAATGTTAAAAGGTAATGACATATAATAATTTATAATAAATAAGACATTAAAAAACATTCTTTTCCAATTCTATAGATCGTTTACAATAATAAATTTGTTATGGTAATAAATACTTTTGTTAAATTTGAAAAATTGAAAAAGATAAATCTCAAACGAACGAATAGAGATAAGCAAATATAAATAAGTGTAATAATAAATGCTTCTATCTCTTACCATTAAGTACTTATATGCAAAGTAACATAAAAAGTTATTTGTTTGTAAATTACACGCACGGTGTAATTTTTCTCGTTTTTGTCACATGAAGGTTAAAACAGAAAGCTGAATAAATGAATGAATATGAATTAGCAATTATAATGATATGGACGTAAATAAGAAAACTTTGTTATAAGAAAATTATTCATTCGAATGAAATGAACTTTTTATAAATATGGCATGAAGAAACAATAAACTTTTTTCTACCTTTTATTCCATTAATAATGGGGAAAAATTTTATAGGCTTATAACCATATCAGCATATAAAATTACATTGTTTGCATCGTAATAATGATTAGACAATGATTCTTTTATATTGACAATTTTCACAACAGAATTAGTATTCAAACATGAAAAATTGATCGTGGTTATAGTATGGGTTTTTCTTGAATTTATATAATTATAAAGTCACAAGAAAATAGGTTTAGTTTCCATACAATTAGGACTACAAAATAGGACTGTATTCCATACAATTTTTTTTATTTTTCAAATGTTTTATTTATGTCGAATATTATACAGTTAAGAAATTTCGAAAACCCCAACAAATTTTCTTAAGTGATCTTAAAAGATAATTCAATCTTTCAATGAATACACTTTTATGGCCATTATATTATTTTAAATCTATAAACTATTTTAGTGAAGACATCCAGAACTGTAACGAAAATTGCATTTATGTGTGTGTATAATATTATAAAATCTTAAATATGCATTCTTCGTTTAACTAAAGTAACAATAAAGCTAAACAATTTTGCTAGAAAAATAGAGGATAAAAATGTCAAGATTCCCTTTAACTTTAAATTATATAAACCAATGATACAATTTGTTCAATTAAATGAAGACTTATCAGTAAAGAAATTTAAGAAACAATGCTTAGAATAAGATGATTAATTAATACAAGTGATATAGACGTTAAAACTTTTATAATTTTTAATATTGCCATTTCAAAATCGATTTCTTTTTCTTTTTTGCAATTAAACGTATAGAGCGATATAATAAAAATTGTAATAAAACTAGTAAAAATTAACTGTAAACTAGTAAAAGATTAATAGAAGAAAAATTGTTATATTGAATATTATTTTATAAAATAACGTAAATACCGAGAAACTAGTGGTCAGAAATAAACAATTTTTTCAATCTGTTAAAATTTGTATAGCTTCTAAATATTATTATAAATGATTATTGTAATTAATGTACAAAGACTATAACTAAAATGACGAAACAGTAAAATAAATTACTAAAGAAATTTGTATTCTGATTAGATTATCTAGAGCATCGGATGCACCGGTTGTAAGCGGTGGTTCCATCTTCTCCTGGGGTACGAAATTTAAATACACCGGTAGGACAGAAAAAGAGGTTTTAGAAGAAACGGGTCCACTTCGGAAAGAAGAACCACCTATACAGCGATGTCAAACTACGTGTCTTAGAAGAAAAGCTAGTAGTGTGCCAGCTACCCCCAGTACCCCTAGTCAAGATCTTGTTGAAATAAGTTAGTATCCTTTCAGTTCACATTCGATTTTAACATGTACATATAAGCACCCAGCTCGTGCAACCCACTGCACGTAATTTGAAAAATTTCAACACTGGTAATAAGTATAGTTTTTATCATAGTAACTTCGAATTTCTTCAAATTTTCGAACCGTTTAAAGGGTTAAAATAAATAAGGAGTAAAATAGCAGATGAATAAAGAAACACGCTAACGCTAATACTTCTTTAAAAATATGAAAATTTGTCAATTTAAGAATCCACCGACTCATAATATTTCGACAAAATTTTCATGTACAAAACTAGGAAAATATATAGTTAACTATAGTAGTTTACTATACTATTCTAATATACTATTGATCCCAGCAACGAAAGTACAACCGGGAAGGGGTAGTACAAACGATAGAGATAGTAAGATGTAAAGATAGTACAAACTAATCGAAGAAAAAGAATAAAATTTCTTGATTCGAAGCTTCCTTTTGAGAAAATCGATTTTGAATATTCGCCATATTCACAGTATTAGTAAACTTGAGGACGCACTGCGGTAGAATAAGAATACACAGTCAATTGCACATAGTAGGCTGACGCAGTAACATTTTTCGACACAAGATCCGAAGAGTGCGATCGTCTCTCGTGGCACTTAAACGGTTAAACGGTTAAGACAGTGATCTAATAAAGAAAAAGTTAGTTAAACTTTCTTGAGACAATTAACAAATAACATTGCGATATAATACTTAGAAATTTTGAATTTTCAGGGTATTCCAGTTTGCCACGTAGCTGTCTCAGCGCAGGTTTAGATGGTGCGGGAATGTCAGAAGGTAGTACTGGCGTTTCGTTCAGTTCGCCATACTGCCCGGATAATACTTTGCCACTCCTAGAACCTGTTTCGGAGGACCAAGAAATTCATGGCAGAAGAAACAATGGTCAGTCGCATTTAATATTTTCGTTCATGAAATCTTTCATTTTACCATTTTTGTGGATTTTATCGAATTGAATTTTTATGCTGATTCGAGACGCATGGCTTATACTACATATCGACATTATGTACAGATTTGTGTAATATAACTTTTTTGATCGAGCTATTTTTTTAGGTAGTCCATCATAATGCACGTGAATACGGGTTTTACAGACAAATATCAAATAATTATGTTAATTGTAAAATATTAAATTTTAAGTATATTTTACAATATCAAATCGAGTATTTATCTATTTAACATAATATCGCGTCTCTACAGTCGTTACTGATATTCATATATAATTATAACTTTATGCATAAATTGTATAAGAAGTTCGATCGCGCGAGCGCACACGCATATGTGATATATATGCAACTGAAAAAAAAAATTCATTCTTTATTTCTTCTATTGTATATATCGATGAAAGAACCATGCGTCACGATGGAATGCACTTATAACACGCATGTGTAAATAAGTATAATTGATATGTTTCAGATTGAAAAGTTACTTTTTTGTTAAAATATCGTTGTAGCTTGTAACGACTGGATAATCACAATACACAAGAAGAAGTATATCGTGATTCAGTCTATGAATATTTATCTATTGCTAAGTGGTAATCTCATAATTACATTTGTTGTTACAAACTTTATATGATGTGCATGTACATGATTGTTTGTGATATTACCTTGAAGTATCGGTATTGCATGATTGTTCTTATATCTGGGTGAAAGGCTCCAATAATTCATAGAAAATGCATTCTAAAACATATTATGCTTTTTTTACATTAACCAAATCATTATACTTACAATAATGATGTATTTTTATAAATACGAAGTTGTGAAATTTTATTTAATATTTATTAATATTTCCATTTTCTTTATTTTTTAATGATTTTCTTAATTTTCTTTTAAGAATAAAGTTTTATTTATCATTCGTGCGATTCTAAATATTTATCAGAGTCCTGTTTATCAGGGAAATAGAAGAAACTTGAGCTGTTGATGATATTAATGCAACGAGTACTAAACTGTAAATAAAAATTCGATGTAAATAGTTATTATTAAATTGGATACTTTGAAAAATTTAATTCAATAAAAATAAATAATTCTTATAAGAACATCATTTAGCAAAATTTTATATCATTCGTATCTCAGAATTTACAAGTGCAGGTCCAACTTGTACATTCTTGTCTTTCATTTGGATATATCTATTAGTTCCTTTTAAATGCATACCGTGCCTTCTCCACTTCACTCTTAGAGTGTTCTTTCTTTAATTTCATGTACTTTCTCAATGGGCCTTGCATCCAGAAACACCTAACGTTTAATTCGTCCAATTTCGTCCAATACTGTACGAACATAATGAAATCTATATTAATAATCCTTACGTAACTTATAATTTAAATTTGCGATTTAAAAAATATCAACGGTACCACGTACAATAGTTCCTGGATAAATGATAATGCTCCTTTCTAATTATATACGATGCCAGCGCCATCGTGTCCTTACGAGTCAACGCGCTCAACTAAGAACCAAATGAAAAATTTGCTACACGAATCATTGACAAATAAAAGTATTAAATTTTGGCCGGAAAATTTCGACTCGACATCATTAATGCAGTAAAATTCTATATATTTAATTAGATCGATATGAAATTATTAAGATCCATGCGAATATTGACAAAGTGCTTTTAGATAAAAGAAAAGAATAATAAAATACTCTTTGCATAAATAGGAATAAGAAAAGAATAATAAAAAGAAAAGAAAATAGTTGTTCAATTTTGTCTAACCAATTTATAATATTCTAATGCTTCTACGAAGTTGCAATTATTTGATTTTATCTTTCTCTGAGCAATCTATTGGTAACAATTTTATGAGTATGAATTAGCGGAAAATATCCGATAGATCACGCGACGATCGAACGTTACATTTCACATTCGAAGTGTAATCGTTTCTTTTATCCTGTGAAATTTCGTAAACGAATCTCTCTTTGCTCGCTTAAATAATTACGGTCGAATCAATTTTACGATCAGTTATTCCGGAACTACTGTATCATAACTAACAATGCGCCGCTTTGATTATAAGATCATAATATTAATCAAATAATATTCCTAAAATTTTCGATATTCTCTGCGACAAAAGCTTACATATCTACTCATTCGATTTCGCGTATAATTTTTATTTCTTCGTAGTTTTGAGTTTTAAAAAATTCTCTCCGTATAATATACAACTCTTGTTTATCATTAAATAGAATCGGTGCGATGGTGACTAATATTTAGAGTATCTATTATTTTAATAATATGCCTTAGTTGAACCGATTATAACGTTTGCAACTGAAAAATAAATCTATAGACAATATGGAAGGTACACCACGAGTGACACCATTAGAAAGATAAAAGCATAAACATCTTTTGAAAGCTAATAGTATCTTTTAAACATTTTCTACATTTCGGTTCTAGCAAAAAATTCAATAACGCTAACTACTGCTAATCAGTTAAAACGCACGAATATCGAATTTTACTAATCGGCTGAAATGAAATGAAATTAAATTAAATTCGTAATAAATGGTTCCCGATATAAGGAATACGAAATCATATACGCGAGACTCGAGCGAATATAATAGGTTATGTTTTGACGTCAAATGATCGACGTATTATTTAGAAAAGCAAAAAGTAAAAGGAAAACAAAAAGAATAGTCATTTAGAATCAGCGCTTCTTTGGCTTCTTAGATCGTTGATTTGTCTTTTCTTTTTCTTTCTGTTCGTTTAGCAGTAGACGAAAAAGATACGCATGTGAGAGCCACCCACAACACCACCACTACCACCACCACCACTACCACCATCACTTTCAACACCACCACAAATCGTGCGAAAGTTAGAATGAAATATCCCAAGAGCACGCTGAACCGACCTCAACCGTTGTACAGTCAAAAAATAGTAATAGGCTCGGAGGAATTAGTCGGCCGTGACATCGATAACGTCGTCAGGCAACGTATAAACGCCCTCGAAAAAAGTCCGAAGGTGGTCAGATCGACTGCGCTGATAATAAAGAGTTCTAAAGTACCGGCGGAGTCACTGAAAGCTGGTAAAGAAATCGCGAACGAGACGTATATATTCCCGACAGCCGATTCGGGAACGATCATCACGACGGTGATAGACGGTCCGTTCGAATCTAACACCGGTAAGCCGATCTTGCGCAGGTCCAACGAGCAGGTAAGCATGCTCGCTCGTCAGGAGAATGAGGTTACATGTCGCGGCATCGGAACCACGACGAAAACGGCAAACGGTTACATTACATCGGCAACAACTGACGTCGCAGACGTTAGAAACGGAGTCGAAGCCACGAAACGACGGGAAAGGACAGGTAAATTAGGCGATGGTTTCTCCTTCATTCACTAAATAGTCACATATCCGCGAGACGACTCTCTTTACATTTTATCGCTATGCGTATACGTTCCTTGTCGTTCCTTCGTACATGCAGTTCATGAGTAAATATATTATTTATAAGACTATATCGGTAATTACATAGTATAGAAATCTTTCTTTTCTTCTTTCTTTTGCGTCTAATTGCATAACGTTAGCATGAGTCTTTGCATATGACAAGTAAAAAAGCATGGTCTTACTCGTGACCAGTTTTTCATACTGCACGTGTAGATGTAGTCAGAGATTTCATCTAGAGGTACGTAAATATCGTGTTAACAAATATTACGATATAAATCGATTGTTCAACTTGACATTAACAAATCGATTTTTATATTACTATACGTTATGAAGAATATTTCACTCAGATCTAATTTAATCTCGCTCTTCTTCCAAACATTGCATTATTCTTATCTTGTACCAATTCACTAAACACCTTTTCTATTTCGAAATTTTTATTTTTATTGCGTGACACATTATTCAGGTTATATTAGAATTTCTAACGTAAGATATGTTTAATTTTTATATGTTCCCTGTTGCATTTATTTATTTGTTTTATATTTTTATTACAACTCGAATGTGCTTATTCTTTGAAACTGAAGAAAGATATTAATACATTAGTATAATAATGTATATATGTAAATAATGATTACAAAATCCTGATTGTAATTAAACCGTGCATGCAATTAATTTATTTATCGATAAACATAATACGATGTAACTGAATTTCAATTGCTGCCATTCGTAATAATATCGAACCGAGGTATTATTATGACCACAGATTCATTTGAGCTCTATAGAATGACCGTAATTCCTTTTCTTAATTATAATACTTTTTTCATTTTTGACAATACGCTGTTAATATATCCAGATTCACGGTATTTGCTTTGCATTTCTCTACAAATTATTTAAAAATGTAAAAATATATATACAAAACGTATATACAAAAGATATGCAAAAGTTTTTTTAGTATAAGAGGAAGCATAATAATGCCAATAATAATTCTTTTCTTATAAATGACAGGTTTCTAAATATTTCATTGTCAATTTTCTTTTCCATATAACATGCTATACCAATGATGAGCAATCTTTGTTCCACATTGCATAAAAATTGAAAAGTAAAATTCCATGTAGACCGCAACTTGTATCGAATTACCGGTTACTAAGATTTTTACTCTTCAGTAAAATATGTTGTTACCACTCGTTGCGAATGTAGAAGTTGTTTCCTTCTTAGGAACACGTGGGGTGCTCTATACGTTTTACGGTTTAGAGCTGTTAATTTTGTTTGGCAGCCCAAATGTTGACTTATTTCGTCTTGACTCCTTTTCTCAGAGTCGCGATTCTAACTCTCTGAAGGATCGAATATGACTGATTGAAGTTTGGATGTGACTGCTCGAAAGCTCGAATGTAACTCCTTGAGAGCTCGAATTTGACTGCTCGAGAGCTCGAATTTGTCTGATTTGACTCTTTTCGCCATTCGGTTCCTCGCCTTGGCATATCGAGGATGCGCGCTGATTGGTTATTTAGAGAAATGTTAATTTCCCAATCAGCGGCATCCTAAGTGTCGTGATCACCTTTCCATGTGCCCTTGGCGCGCCTTCTTTCGGTAAGGGTGGGACAATACCTGAGCGGGCGTGAGGTCACGGGTTTTGCCCAAGGGTTACGGTATTCCTCCAGGTCCGATGCGTCGATAGTCTTTTACCCATAGCGGAACTTCGTGATGACCCTTCAGAATTACCGAGGTTTATAACAAGTCTTTTGGCTATTGAGCATAGACGAAATTAAGATTTGAAAGAACATTTGTTTCATTATCCCCCAATATACCTAGAGCCCAACTCTGAAATAGTCTGTCTTTACGATCGTGTTATAAACCTTAGAAATACCGACCTCACGGCTCATTTGAGGATGCCAAGGCCGGATATTCCATATGCACCGCGTAACATATGTACTCATCATCGCACCGTAGTAAAATGGTGACCCTCGGAGATTAATAAACAATTTCAGTGTTCTTCAATAGACAATTACTGAATAGTAAATAAAGCGTGAAATATTAAGTATTGCACCATATCTCGAAATATTCGATATGGTGGCAATCTGCACAGAGGTAACATACGAATAGTCGAATTGCAGAAACATTTGTTCCCTTTGTCGTACTGTTTGTATAGCAATACCTACTCCAATGATCATACTATTTTGGAACACAATAATTTTTAATATTTCGCTAAAAAGAGAATCAACTGAATTAGTATTTTCCGATTCAGGAAGATCATATGAAGTATAAAAGTAAACGTATGTATAAGGTGTCCAATTTTAATGGATAAATGTTAATTACTCAAAAACTATTCAATGAATGAAAAAACATTTCAGATAAGAAATAAATGGTTTTAAGAGAGCTATAAAAGGACGTAATTGTTTTCCCTGCAGATGGACGCGTATAGGTCACATAAAGGTTAACTTTGGTTTCTTAAATGAAAACATATTTTTTAATGCACTATTTGATTCAGTTACTTATTCCCAATAAACAAGTGTTGTTCTTGTAATTCTTGTAAAAAAATACGGCCATTTTATGACTTTCTTGAAACCATTAATTTCTTACAAAAAAAAACAATTTTTCATTCGGAGAATAGTTTTCGAGTAATTCGTATTTATCTATTAAAATTGGACATCTTCTATATACAGTTACAAACAACAACAAAAACTGTGAAAAAGAAAATATCGTATAAAGTTTAGATAATTAAAACCAACATTTCCAATTCCTCGGTTAATATCGTAAATTGCAATCAATTATCCAAATTATTTGTTCCTTTTTGATAATAGAAATTTTATAATAATAGAAATTCGTAAACTACGATATTCTTATAAAGGAGGTTCAATTTAAATATATTATTATCTATTATACATGAAGCCTAAGGAATGAAACCACGCCGTCAAAGACGATTAGAAAAATGCTAATTTGATGAAGAGCTGAGAAAAGTGTAATTAGCATTTTGGAATTGATCTTTGGGGTATGGTTTCACTGCTAAAGAGGTGAAATTTTTTCGTAAACTAAAGCATTTTCTTTTAATATCACAATAATCGGTCAAGTTTCGTTGAAACCTCTTTTCCTACTTTTGACTATTTTCGAATTAGCATTTTGTATTGTATAATTCTACCAAGTTTTATTTGAATCAGACTTTCTTTGTAAAAGTATGAAATTTAGGTACACAAAATTTTATTACTACAGTTGAAGATGAATACACTTCGATAACTTAGAAAATTGTTTTTATTAACTACGATAATAATCAAATAATTAACGATATCGATTTCAATTATCTTATCTTTATTTGGTACTTCGTTCTAATAATTTTTGTCATGTGTTTTACTTTCTACTGTAATACATGCATTTATAGTATGTCAATTTCAATGTTACGTTAATGCAAATGTACACCACATTGAGGAAGCATCTCCTATGTAACAGGGTTTATTATTTTACTCCCTTATTATTGAATAACTTTGTATTAAAGGTCGTTAAATACTGTTAATCGTTGAAGCCCATTATTCTACTAGAAATACAAAAATATTGGTATAGCATTTTTAAAAATAATAAGGTTGATATTTCTGAAAATCTCCTATATATGTGAGAGAATTATTAGCAAAGTTTAGCAAGAATTTTACATTTTCACGTGAAGCCTGTATTTATGGTTCTTACATACAAATTGAGATTTCTCACTGTAAATTGTATCCAATACAAAATAATCATTTGCATGCTACTGGTATGAGATTTACAAACCACACAACATTTGTGAATAAAACATTTTCATATATCTAAAACTAACAAAGACATTATATCTAAGATGCTTAAATCTAGTAAAATGGACATCCTATTCAAGATTAGTTCTTTTTCCTTACACTTTCATGCCTCGCAATTACTCCAATTTATAAAGAAATTATATCTAATGGCTATAAGTTCAATTACACGAAGGTAAAATTTATGACAATTGCTTTTATGATGCTTCTGTTTGATAAACACGAGCCAGTGTCGCCTTATTCTGTAACAACGAATATTTCAAAATGAATATCTTAGACACCTGTAAACGAACAATCTACAAGTCATTCCCATAGGATAAAGATAAATCATGAATTAAAAAATTACTCATCTACAAGGACAATCAATTATTATATTTAAATCGAATCAGTTTAATGGCTTTTAGATAAGTAATCATTTGATTGAGTTAGGGCATAATTTTTCTATCAGATTTCTTACAGCGAATCGAATAACATTCGTAACTTACGTTATTAATTAACAACGGACGAAAAGGTCCAATTACAAGTTTCATGAAACAATAATTTGATTCGTTATCCCTTTTTTAAAGAATATTAATAATTAAAAGTTGAAATTACAATGATAGTACTTTTATGAAAGTTTGATAACTGGACCTCAAGTTGTTATTATTAAACTAATTATGAGATACGTAAAGTAGGATTGTATCAGGGGTAGGTTGAAATCTAATTTTAAAATTCTCGAAATTTAAATTCGGAACTTCGTAAGATTTCAAAATTCTCAAAATTTTCGTAACTGGTTCCGCTGGTTTTCTTTTCTCTGTGTTAAGAATTGAATTTTAATCAAATTATTTTAGGTAAATCTATAAAACATAATGAAACGAAATACAAATAAAATCATAACAATATGCAAAAATATTTAATCCAAATTCTTTTTATCAACTATATTGCCGAATCTATTAAAAAGTCTTTCAAAAAATACCATTAAAAGTGATATGACGAGATATCGACCTTATGTTTCCTCATATTTATGTTTTGAAAATTTCGAAACCACAGAAATTTGTTTAAATTTCAAAATTTCAACGTTTCGACATCTTAGCGTTTCGAAAAACAGAACCCTAGATTTTATGATCCGCTAGGAAATTCTTCTGAACAATACTACGACAATCGAAAAATCAGTATTGCG